CTTTTTCATTTTATAAAGAACATTTTTCCATTTAATTTTGTGTAAAGTTAAACGGAGAAAAACGTTCACTTGTGGTGGTGACAATGGCTCCCCAGGTGAGGTTGTACCAGACAGTGAAAAAGCTTAGCAAAAGTAAAACATTGCTGTAAGGCATGAACAGAGTTCAAAACTTGTTTTCTCCGAATGATTTTAAGTAGACGAGGATTTTCTAAGGATTATCGAAATGCAATAATATTCTCAAATGATTCTTTTGAGATATATAATGCAGTGGCAGTCCAAAAGGAAGTTATCAGAGAGGTAAATAATCAGGGGTATTTAGCATGTACAGTAGACAAGACGGTTGCTACAATGTGAAGTCGGCTTCATGTTTTTTGCTATTCTCATGAAAATTCATCCACTTTTCATGAATGATATAAGCCTGCAAATCCTCTCTGTCCTGAAATGACATTTTAGAAATGGGTGGTTGTAAACTGACAGCATTAACGCCCACAGTTACACAGTGTAGGCCTGTGCTGTCTCTTCTACACTGCCAGACACTACATGTGTACGTGTATTCATTGCTGGGTCAGAGCATACACACCCACTCTTCAGTATCCACACCGTCCTCAGGTCCCCGTGCAGCACTGATAGAGGGATTACAGTGAAGGATCAATCTTCAGCCAGCACACAGGGTAGATACGGAGGCCGGCAAGTCCACTGCCCATCTGGTGCAAGGTTTTTCCTCTTTCGAATAGGTGATTTTCAGAAATGCACGAACTGTGTTGTAAGGGGGTGCAATCATCTGAGTGCTGCTCAAGGTTACGCTTTATCAGTCTTTTTGCTCAGCAGCAGTCCAGATATTTTTTTAAACATGTCTGAAAACACCATGGTCTTACTTTACAGGAGCCTTCACGACCAACAGTTGAGTCCATGTTTTTTTTTGTACACCGATTATTTTATGACACTAAACTCTGCTAAATTTAACAGAAGGTCAAGCCCTCTCTATTGATGGCTTTTATAAATTAGTCTTACCAAATTATGCAAACTCTAAATGGGTTTTATGAAGTTGTATTTCTGCCAGAAAGTGAATTAAAGATTGTGCTTACACATTGATTTATATGCAAGCGTTTGAGTAGGAATATGTCAGAGAGCCATAAATTCAAAGTGTGAGTATATTTGTGTTTGTTTACTGTACGAGTTAAAGGTTTGAAACACATCCATGACAATCACAGGTCTAGAAAGAATCAGAAATGTGTCACTTGTTAATCTTTATCCTTTATGAGATGAAAAAAAAAGAAGAAAATATACATCTTCTCATGTCGCTGATATCAAGACCATATTTGGTGACATTTTGATGCAGGCACAAACAGTAAACATTGCATCGTTTAAGTATTTTATCCTGTTTTTCATCTTTCGAAATATTTTTCTTTTTGTGTAGATTACCTTTGCTTTCTCTTATCTCTGTATTTTCAGCTACAGCTCACTCGCAGAACAAGATATGTTCCCCTTCAGTGTGAGTGGTTATATAAACATTTAATAATAAATCAATAGCGTCAAAAAAGAGAAAGAAGTGAGAGCAGCTTTCACAGCATCAGTATCACTGTCAGTTTAATCTCCCGTTCCTTGAATGCATACAAAACAGTCCTTCCAATGGTAGCCGGAGGCTCTCAACCCTCCTAATCCCTAATCCAAGGTCTGGGGCAGATTAAAAGGAACCCTGGGGACTGTAGCCCTTCAGGGAGGCAGGGGTGGATAAACGGATGATAGCAGGGGGATGCGGATAAAATAGACAGACAAAAGGATGGGAGGATAGTTACAGGGAGAGAAAGCAGGTCTGTGTGTAGAGGATGGAGAGACGAGTGGACGTGTGATGGATGGATACAGGGAAGGGTTTGACAGATAAAAGCATCCTGTCCCAATATTTGATGTGAGCTAAATCAACAATATGTTTGGAAGGAGGATGAGGATTCTCCTCAAATCGCACAACAGGGTAAAGTTGATGGACACGTGTTGCTGATTTTAACATTTTTAAATCAGAGCTGGGTGGAGGAGTCAGATAACCTCAGTGGGAACCAACTGGCAACCATGACCGGCAGCTCTTGTTGAAATGAGAGGTCTGAAGTGCCCATGGCAGAGCTGCTGTTGGCAGATTACCTTTATCTACCTCTCTGTTAGACNCCCGCTGCCCACAGAGCCACATCTCATCTCTTCTTCTCCAAGGTAGTTCCAGACGGTAGATGCACGCCCCAGCTGGCAACTGCTGCTGCCCATAGTTGCTGCCTCTTCCTCTTCTTTCTCTCTCTCTCTCTCACTCTCCTGGGTCTCCTCCCTATCTCTCTCTCCCTCCTCCTCTCTCCCACATGGACGCGGCATACCTCCTGTTCACCAGCCAACGTGCGAGCCGAGGCTGACGCGGAGTGCCCGCATACGGAGTGCGGACCGCGGAGAGTCGTTGCGTGCATCCTTCCAGAAAAGCCTCGCTCACATTTTTCCCTCCTCCATCCTGACGCAGAAAAGACGCGTGTGTCGGAGCTCCCCTCCTTCCTCTCCATCCTGCTCTGTCTCTCATCGCCACTGGAAACTAGAGACAATTTCAGGATACGGTACCTCTCTGTGGCTGTGCCATGTGACAAGGCTTTCATCATGTGGCACGTCTTTGCTCTCTAACTAAAGTCGCTGTCTGCGTGTTTCTGGAGGCTGTTGTATCCAAAGAGGGGCCAAGTGGAGGGAAGAGAAGAAAAAAAAAGCCCCTGGGGAAAATGGAAGTTTTGGCGTTGGCTTGGTCCACTGAGGCTGCTTCTGGTGATTTGGTGATTGGTGCAGGGGGAAAACTGCGTCGCCAGATCTGAGAGCCTGGGATTCTCGGGGTCATTACAACAGGACCCGCTTTTCAAGATAACTAGGTCCCCCCCCCCACCCTCTGACGATATTGAACGGGCTCAGATTTATTTCTCCAAACGAGCGGCCACATCTTCCAGCTCCCTCACTTCGCCTCGACGCGTCGGCGTTTGGATGCAGGTTCTGTTTCCTCTGCGGCTCCGCGCCTCTCTCCGCTCGCCCCAGAATATGATCTCATGCTGGTGAGAATTTCAACAGGGTGCCAGTGTGTGAGTACCCGGGGATCTCTGCTGATTTCCCCTCATCATCACATTCAACAGAAGAGCACACCAAGGAGCAAATTACAGGGAATTTCCTTGATGGACTAAAAAAAACAGAAGCTCCAGGTTTTTCGGGATTTTAACTCCGATCGCTCTCACTCACAGAGCCGTGGTTTTTTATTTGTATTCCTCTTGATTCTGGGGAGGGGAAATACATGTGGACATCATGAAAGTTACCTCTGCTGTGGTGTTGCTCGTCGCCGTGTATTGGAGCCAGGAGTGGAAGTCGGTGCTCTCGGATTCAATCATCCACATCGGTGAGTTCCTGCGCTTTTTCTCCGGGGCACAATGAGGCTGTGTGCGCGTCTCTCAGCCAACAGACTGGAGGTCTCAGCCTCGACATGCGCTGCACCGCTTCAATCACAGCACTGATGGCGATTTCTTTGACACCCTGTGGTTATTATAGGGGCTTATTTCTCTGAATTACGGATGTAGATGCTCGACTTGAATTTAGTCTTTGGCACATCCAACAATTGCCGAATCCTTTGCGCCATTGGGGGCATGATTTTCAAGTGAAGTTTGCCTTTAAGTTTAGGGGATTATTGAGCATCAGATGCGTAATGTAATTTTCATTTAGTCGGTGTGTTAATATAATTTATAGACATATGGATCTGAGGTGGGCAATGTCAAGGGAACGGACTGTACTTCCACATAATCCTTTACAGTAGGCTGCACAATAATGGATATATGTGCACAGCATGCGTGGAAAAAACAGGTGGTTTAGGATGGGGTGATGTTGCCCTGCATGGTGGGACATTTTCTGCAAATGGATTAACCTGAAGCATAATGACATTACCGTCTAACATCGTGAGCCACTGCAGTGCCATGAGGAGAGAGAGAAAACCCCGTGTTATGCCCTATAACGTCTTTTCTGCCTTCCACCACCACCGGCAAAGTGTGGCACTGTTGTGTTGAGTGTGATGTCGACATCAGGGAGCGATGTAGAAGCGCCCCCGGCTCCAGCTATAGGTTAGAGAGAGAGAGAGAGAGAGAGGGGGATGACGCTGGACTGCGTGTCTTGCAGGATGAGGACGCGAGGTGGTGGTGGTGGGCACATAGCCATTGCACAACTGTGGCTTGGTGTGGGCATAGAAATTAGAGGGGGCATTGTGTAGGTGCATGGCTGACAGTGATTGGCAGATGCATATGCAGGGGGATGAGGAAGTATCCACGCTGATCAGTTTTTGACCACGTTGCATAGCCAAGGTCTCATCCATATTTCAACAGGCACTCTAAAGCATGTACAATATGTAAGACATTATGAACCACCAACGTAACCCGGTGCATTATGCTGCCAGCGAGCGAGGACTGAGCTGTTGGATCCATCTAGACTCTGGATAAAGAAGATTTACAGAGCACACCTCGGGCCACTTTAGATCAGTCCACTGTCTTCTCTGGGCTGTAGTCCAAGCTGATGCTTCATATCAGGCTCACAACAGCAGCATTACCAAATAAATGAGATTTACACAGGTCAAGTTGGCAGATGATGGATATTATGTTGTTTGCAGACACAATAATCAATGGTGGGCAAAGAAAATAGAGATAGCATTGGGTAGGTGCATGATTGACAGTGATGAGGAGACACACACATGCAGGAAGATGACCACCTCTCCAAGCTGGACTGTTTTTGACCATGTTGCATAGCTAAGGGCTCATCCATGTTTTAAAAGACACACATGCACTCCAAAGCACATGCTGTATGTGACACATTATGAAGCACCAATGTAACCCACTGCATTATGCTGCCAGTGAGCAAGGACTGACCTGTTGGATCCATTTAGCTCCTGTCTTCCTGGATTTACAGAGCACACCTCAGGCCAATTTCGTGGCTACCTGAGTCCAACTGGCCAAGAGCTGTATCAGTCCAACGTCTTGTCTGGGCTGTAGAACAAGCTGATGCTTCATATCAGGCTCACAGCAGCAGCTGCATTACCAAATGAATGAGATTTACACAGGTCAAGTTGGCAGAGAATGCATATCATCTTGTTTGCGGCCGTGTCAATCAAACCAGGTTGAAATCTTGTGGATGAACCAAACATCATCCACAGAATATGCAAGTTAGAAAGTGATAGTTTAACTCAGTTCCCGATTGTTGTAGATTTTATTTTGAGGTTTTGAAAATAGGTTATGCAGAAATTCTGGCGCAGAGCAGCAGGGAGGCTGCTGTTGTGTTAGTAAAGCCACACATGCGCAGAAACCCGCAGGCTGTGGCTGTGGGCCCTACGGGGGTGGCACAGTAATCCACTGTTTAGACAGATCACCCTGTGACTGAATGGTTTGATCCCAGCAGCAGCCACATGTTCAGCAATAGTCCCACAGCAGGACACAGAAACTTCACCTGCTCACTGACTGTAAGTGAGATAAGAGTGTTCACAATGTGACTAAAACCCCTTGAATATCAGACATTTTTTACTCAGGGATCTGCAGCTATGTAGGCTAACTGCAGCAAGGTTGTTGTCAGCTGCTGGAAGTGGGTCAAGGTTCCCTGTATGTACACTGCCTCTGTTCTGTACATCTCTGCTTACTGAGACTCTAGTGTTTTTTTTCAAACATGGTGTCTCACTTGCTCCAGGCCACATATAAGCTTAGCTGAGGTTTTTCACAAGAATCTATAAACAGTAACATGCTGATATTAAGCTTTGTTGTAAGTCTCCTTCATTGTGATGGTTTATCAACTTAACCCAAAAATACAACAAGAGCAAATTGTACAAGTCTCAATAGCAACCATAAATACACACAGCTCTGGATCGTCCTCAGTGTGTTGTGTGTTTATCTATGTGCCTATAGCAAACATAAAAATGGATAGATATATTGTACTGCACAGTATTACAAGAGTAAGTGGGTAAAATGAAGCTGTACAGAAACAGGATTTACAGAAGTAGAGGCTCTCAAATCACCTCCAGTTTGCAACATAATCCATACAAATCCCAGATATATGTTTGAGAAGCAAAGTTAGTGACAGGGATAATGAGAAAAACCAGCGATTCCTCCTTGACCCTTTTGTAGGAACCAGGCCAGTGAGTGGTTTCCAATTAGTAGAAAAGACAGCGAGGCGATGCGTATAGTTTACTGGTTCCTGGTTAGTTCCAGCTCCATTTAAGCACTTTGTTAAGGGTGGTTTTTACCTTACGTGTGTGTGTTCGAGGACAAAGCATCAGTGTGGGCGGTTGTGTTGCTGCTGTGATTTCAGTCACTGTGTCTTTTTTCCCCTCTCTCTCTCCCTACACCTTATTTCTAATCAATAGTTCATTTCCCTGCTAGCCTCAAGTACTTTGAATCACAACAAAAGGTTATCACCCCAAAAACAATACTTCTCTTTTCTCATTCTGCCCATCTCTCACTCTCCATCCCCTCGGCCCATCCATCCTCATCCCAGCTTCCTCAGCAGGTCTCGGAAACAACACAAAAAACTGGAAAACAAGTACATGAGCGTGTATTGTGATTTGCTGTTCTAATTTGAGGTGATGTTTCACAGACGTAGAAGCCAAATTAACAATTTACTGATTCCCCAACGTCCGAATTTAGCCTTTTGCAAGTTAAGATAATTGATATCCATGAAGATTTTTGTTTTAGTGCATATGTGTGCCTTATATTTATTTGTGACTGAATAAAAAATAAAATGTACTATGCCCAGCAGGCACGTCACATTGGCATGTCAGGAGTAATCCCCCTTTAATCTCTTAGTTACTGCTAAAGATGGAACAAGGGAAGAGAGGGAGAGATTCGACAGACAAAGAGAGATATGTATCAAAGAGAAAAAAAGATGGAGGATGGAAAGTAGAGGAGAAAGTGCCATCACCATCAACCATTATTTAGCTGCCTTTACTGAAAACCTGTGACATCCTGTAACAGAGCCGCCATTATTTCTTTGATACAAACAGTCATGACCAGCAGACGTTTTCATCTTGCTCTGTCCAGGCATTAAATGTTATTGAGCTGTTGGGGAGCTGGCACCACTGCCTCACCCCTCTCTCTCCCTCCCTCTCTCTCTCTTCCCCTCCCTCCCTCTTTCTCCATCCCTATTTCTCTCTCTAATGATCAGCATGCGGGGGGGGGGGTTGCTTGCCTCTTGGCTATCACCGCATCGTGTACTGCATGGCAATGGCCCTCTGCTTTATGAGGGCGCCTCGTATGGATTCTGCATGTGTGTGTGTTAGAGAGAGAGTGAGCATGCATGTTTGTGTGTGTGTGTGTTCTTGATTAGTTACACTCAGGAAGTCACTGTGATTTATGCAGCTAGATTAAGTCACTGCTTCGGAGTCGCGCTGTTTTTTGTTAGCCATGCTGTGTCAGAGTGCATCCACTGGCTCCCTGTGCGAGCGAACCTGGCTCACCCTCATTCAAATAATGTATTGTACATTGGCTCAGCTCTCTCTGATGCACTCACAGGCACTGTTTTGATACACATCACTGAAATACAGTATATTAGATTTGTACTAATGAGTTAGTGCACGGTCTGAGCCTACAGATTAATACCAGTCAGAGTTGTCAACACATTTCAAATGCCACGGGCAGTATTAATCGAAATGAATACAGGGTGGGTACATGTGACACAATGTCTCAATGCACTGCTGCCAGTCGGTCACATATTACATCTGCCTTATATGGTTATTGTTCTTTTCTCTATTCATTGCTCCTGGCTAGATCACAGCCAAATAGAAAACTGAATGAACGCTTGGCTGAAGAGACAGGAGGAAGAATGGTTTGTCCGCTATGTTTTCTTGCAAGCACCAACACTTTTAAGGCGATGAAATTGTGCAGTTAATCATGGAAGTCATTCTCTGCTAATTATTGATCAATACAATATTCAAAAGCATTTTTGGCAAGATTTATGTCATGTCATTTCTGTGCATTACAGGCTGCAAAAATCTATTCTGCTCATAATCTCCTACATTAAGCAGAGAAGTCCTAGCAGAAGAATCAGTGGGCTTAATTTATGTGTGAGTAGATGCATTCAAGAACACTTCATATGTAAATGAGCCATTGAGTATTTTTGCCATTTGGCAGGCAGTTTTACTTAAAGATATCTGGCCAGGAACTTTGTTGAATCATTGAAAAATTAAATTCATCACTGTCAGCTCATTTTAGAAGCCCCTGTGGAACACTTCTCTTGCACTTCCTTGCTGTGATGATGCAGTGATACTGAGCAGAGGAGAAAAACACAGAAAATCAGACTCTGCAGGGATTTGGTCTAACAGACCGTGTTGCCTCTGCAGTCATTTTTAAAAAATTGTTGGCATTTCATTCAAGGACTCCA